GTGATAAAAAGTGATAAATATTGTTTTTTTCAATGATAATTCTCAACTTGTTTTTATAGGAATTTAAAGCCTCCCTCCTCCCCCCCCGAATTTTTTTATTTATAGAAAATGGGAAAGAAGAAGGTAAATTGACCAATCCAACTGGTATTCATATATCACTAATAATAATAATAATAATAATAATAATAATCATACTAAATACAGTTTTTGCATTTTTTTTATTCAGTGTACTTCATTTAAAGAAGTTTATTTAATAAAAAAAATTAAGTGGATTATTCTTATTGACAATTACATTTTTTTATTCTTATACATATAAACTCGAGGTTAAAATTTGCGGTTTCTTCATAAATCATAATAAATAAATAAAGAAAATTTCGTTCCCTCCACCCCAAAATGACATTGAATATAATTCTGATGCGTTTGTTCTTCTTGGCATTGCGTTCAATTAATTAGTTAGTTGGTTAGTTGGTTGGTTAGAAGAAAACTTATTTAACATCATTTCTAAATGGACATGATTAGTTTGACATTGTGATTTAAGTGAAACCAAAGAAAAGTTTTCATTTGTTGATTCAATTATTTTTATGACATTGAACTACTTTCTTTTTTAATTTCATGATATATTTAATTTAAAAAAATGACATATTTTTAAGATATGAATAGATCAGTGTTAGATTACCGTTAGAAACCTGGAAGAAGCACTGAAAGACGGTTGTTTCGTCCTGGTATGGGACTCATCAGTGACAGTGCTCATCCACGACTCCTGCACCTCGCAGGATTCGAACGCGGGACCTTCGGTATTGTGCCCGAACGCCTAACCATCGAGCCACTGGGCTGGCATCCAACGGTGTTAATATCTAACTCTGAATGATCTAGGTATTTTGCGTGAGCTCACCCATTTGTCTTTGGTAGTTACTGCCTACACCCGACAGGATTGAACTCCATTAGTCACGCACGTCTTCTCACTAGAACTCCGAGAATTTCCTCACGAATCTAGTCACTAGTGAGCACTGTTACGATATTTTCAGGCAGAGTTTTTGGAGATTTGTGTTTTTACACATTTAAAATGATTACTTTTGTTTACATCGAAACAATAATGAAAAAAATAGACAAAAAGTGTAATTGTGATTCATTAATTCATTGCGAATATTTTGATTATGTCGACAAAATATTTTTATTTTAACGTTTCTTCTTGGACCTTATAGATATTCACTTAAATAATCAATGAAAACTTAAATTTGATTTGAGACGTAGCCATCTATTAATTATGGAGTTGTGGAGATAGTTGAGTTACCTATTGAAATCATGAATCAACATTGTTAGACCACCATTAAAAACTTGGAAGAAACATTAGACGGTGGTTTCGTACTGATATAGGACTCATCAAGACTGTGAATCGATCCAAGTTAGACATTAATACAGTTAGATACCGGCTCAGTGGTTCAAAGATTAGGCTGGGATAGGTTAGGACCGAAGATCCTGGGTTCGAATCCCTTGGGGTGCAGGAGTTGTGGATGAGCGCTGCCACTCCTATACCAGGACAAAAAGGCCATCTTTTAGTGCTTCCTACAGGTTTCTAATGGTGATCTAACAATGGTTGATTGATTATTTCAAATGTGTAAAAACACAAATCTCCAAAAACTCTGCCTGAAAATATCGTAACAGTACTCACTAGTAACTAGATTCGTGAGGAAATTCTCGGAGTTCTAGTTGAGAAGACGTGATCAATGGAATTCAGCCCTGTCAGGTGTAGTTAGTAACTACCAAAGACAAATGGGTGAGGTTGCGCAAAATCCCTCGATCGATCAGAGTTAGACATTAACACCGTTGGATGCCGGCCCAGTTTTTCTATCGTTAGGCGTTCGTGCACAATACGGAAGGTCCCGGGTTTGAATCCTGTGGAGTGCAGGAGTTGTGCATGCGCGCTGCCATTGATGAGTCCCATACTTGGAGGAAACGGCCGTCTTTCAGTGCTTCTTCCAGGTTTCTAATGATGGTCTAACAACGGCTGATTGATGATTTCAAATGTGTAAAAAAACACAAACCTCCAAAACTGCCCGAAAATAATCATTAATTATAAAATGTAAATAATGAATGTAATGCATTGAAAATGTCTGTATGAATATTCATTTTAGGTTAGAATTGAAAGTGATGATAATATCTCGAAAATAATGACAAGAAAAGCTATTTTTCATTATACTATGATGAAGTTGATTGAGTTTCATTGAAATCGTGAATCGATTTATGTTAGACCACTCTCTTGGAAACCTGGAGACACTGGATGGTCGTTACAGCCTAGTATGGGACTCATCAGTGGTAGTGTTCATCCCTAACTCCTGCACCTCGCAGGATTCGAACCCAGGACCTTCAGTCTTGCGCACAAACGCCTAATCTCTGGATCACTAAGCCGGTATCTAGTAATGTTAATGTCTAACTTTGATCAATCTAAGGTATTGCACAACCTCATCCATTGTCTTTGGCAGTTAACTGCCCTACACATTCAATATGGTTGAACTCCACTGGTCGGGACTTTTCACGAGAACTTTGAGAATTTCCCCACGAATCTAGTTACTATTGGGCAGATATTATTTTTCATTAAACAGTTATGAAGTTTGATTGAAATGATGAATCGGTCACTGTAACTATCGAGTTAACAAATTATCCGCAAAATTATCGACAATATAAACAACCGGGTACCACCTCTATTTTCTAAATATTTACAGAAAAAATATTGCAGTTCGTCTATTTAAATGCGGGGTAAGCTCAAGATTATCATAATCATGACTCGACCTATAATAATCAGCCCAAGATATTCCAGAAAATCGTCAAAGGAGGGTACTAGTCGAAGACGATAGAAGATACTTGAGAAATATCGTGAACCTTCTGAAGTGGGACTAATGCACCATTAGATCTAAATTTTAAGCTTTCAAGTACAAGATTCAAGGTCTTGTAATCAATTCCAGTTGGTCGGGTCGTGAATGTATACTAGGTACAAGATTGCCACCTAGTACTTTTAGGTTCTCAATGATTGTTCAAAGTTAAGCATGTTCGTGATCTCAATAAAGTTAAACAGCCCTTATAATCTTCATTCTAATACTTTTAGTATGTCATAGTGGGAAAAAAGTTTACTTTCCTGAATCCACCATTATCATCCATCTATTAATATCACAATCTGATGTAGTGATCATCTTCAAAAATCATTTATATCAATTATACAAATATGCTTCTTATTAACTTACACCGAACAAACCAGCCAATAGAGATAAATATCATATTAGTCTAGTCTAGATACTACAACTGACTAGATATCACATAGACCACGTTAAGATATCAAATGAGTAGTGTTAATCAACAGGCAAATCTAAACCCGACTTAGATAGAGTATTGTAACTTAACAATCTTCACAATCCCGTCATGCAAATTACCTGTACTAACTAGTGACTAGCTTGGTGAGGAATCTTCTCCGAGTTCTAGTGGGAAGACGTGACCAGTGAAGTTCAACCCGTGTTCGGGTGTAGACAGTAACTACTACCGAAAACAGTGTATGAGTTTGTGAAACTCCGTGAATGGATTGATGTTAGATACCGGCTCAGTGGTCCGATGGTTAGGCGTTCGAGCACAATACCGAAGGTCCTGGGTTCGAATCCTGCAGGGTGCAGGAGTCATGGATACATAGTGTTGATGATTCCCATATCAGTCTTGAATATTGACTGCGAAGATTTATATTAAATAAAGGAAATTTAAACAGAACTTTGTTTGTTGAATCAAAATTCTGTCAGTTTCAATGAGAAGTTGTGACCAGTTGAGTTCATTCCTGTTGAGTGTAGGTGGTTGGTTACCTAGCTATGACAACTGTGTAAGGTTGCGTAATAACATTAACACCACTGTATACCAAGCTAAATAGTCTAGAGGTTAAGCGTTTGAGCGCATGACCGATGATCCTAGTTTCGACTGACACTTCCGAGGTTGTGGATGTGTATTGTTGATGAATTCCATCCAGGTTTTGAATGATGATCTCACAATGATCAATGCATGATTTCTCAATGAGACTCAACAATCTCTAAAATATAATTATGATCAAATTAAATTTTATTACTCTTTAACATCAAATGAACCACTGTTTCATTTCACATATGATTTGTAGATAATTTTTCTAAGTTTCAACGGCTATTTCTTGAATAGTTTTACACTATAAACTGATATCAGCATAGTGTTTTTATGGGTTTTAAGTACTCACCATATCATTTGACCATTCTGTGTTCAATTTCTGGTTAAGATCGTAAATGACGACTTTTGAAATCATCAATCAATCATTGTAAGATCACCATTAGAAACTTGGAAGAAGCACTGAAAGACGGTCATTTCGTCCTGTTATAGGACTACTCATCAGTGGCAGTGCTAATCCACGACTCCTGCATCTCACACAATTCGATCATGATTTCAAATGTGTAACTCAACAATCTTCACAACTCCGTAATAAAATTATATTGGCCAATCAATAAGTAAAATCCTACACGACTGAATTTACTAATTACGCAATAAATCCTTTGTAGATAGTGACTCTACTATACACTTATTTAAATAAATAAATGTATTACGTAATTTGTTTAAAAATTTGAGTTTTCTCCTCACATAAATTCCTGTTTACATTGTAAACTATTTATTTCCCTGCTTCAAATTGACAAATAGACGAATGAATGAATGAATGAATGCAAATCAAATCAAATTAACCAATCAGAAAACACACCGTGTATTAAATGAAATTTGATTGGACAGCTATTGAATAATTCCGTTTTATTTATTTAATTTTTCTCTCTCTCAATTATCAATCAGTAAATAAGTAGTATTCTATTTATTTGATAAAATTATCAAATAGAAATTGAGTAGATTGGTAAAATATACATATATATACATCTAGTTTCATCATTAGAGCAGATGTTATTTTAGTAGACAAAAAGATATTGAATGTTTTAATTATTAATAGAATTATTCTAACTTAACAAATGCAAACAAAAGATATTTCACATAATCTATCTCAATTCAATTGTAATCTATCAACCATAACGACTACGACACCACCACAACCAACAACAACAACAGACAAATTGAATTCCTCATCATCTACATCATCATCATTTTTAATTACAGATATTCTTTCATCAAATAACAATATTGATCAAATTGAACATTTAACAAACACCAATCTATCATCTACCAATCAGATTAATTCTACACAACAACAACAAAACAACGAGGATATTGAATCATTCATTGTTAAACATGAAGATAACATTAATAGTATGATGATGATGACAAATACCACTCATCCTATATGGCAATGGTTATTGGATTCCTTCTTATCACCACTAGGCACAAATGAATCAATAACACGTGATGAATTTCTCAATAAAATCAAAGAAAAATTCCCTACAACAACAACTAATAATGTACATAATAAAGAAATATTATCACATTTTTCATTACAATTAAATAAACAATTGTGTCAATATCAATCTATTGAACAACCAGATGATAACGCTACATTTAAATTGAATATTGATTCATTAAAACAATTATCACATGAATTTTGGCGATTATTTCAAGAAACTTCTTTAAATAATAATAACAATAATAATAATCATTCTAACAAAGAGCCAAATTCAAAAACATGCTACAACAATGAACAATTAAATCATTCAAATGAATTAAAATTATTTTGGACAAAATCATATGAACAATATTTCCGCCATACATTATTAGGTCAATTAAAACAAACGGAACATTCAATTGTCAATAATAATAGTGATAATAAAAATAATGACAATACTATTCATATTAAAAATAAAATTAAACGTAAAGAACAAAAAACGATAGATTTAAACAATGCAAATATTGAAACTATTGAACAAAATGATAAATTGTCATCTTATCATCATCATCATCATCAACCATTCACATGGTTTTTTAATCCAATGCCTTCATGATTGTTTAAATACACAAGAGAAATTATATAATTTTTATAAAACAAATTTTTTTTGTATAAAAAATTATTGTAAACAAATGGAAAATTTAAAAATTAATGAAAATTTATTTATCAATGATACTACTACTAATAATAATGATAATAATAATAACAGTAGTATAATCAATGATACCAATGATAACACCAACACTACTACTACTACTACTACTAACAGTAATAATAATAATAGTAATAATATTGTGAATAATGAAGTGAACGATGCAAGTGTTGTGTCATTGCCGTCAAATTCTGCACTAGACTGCTTTGATTCATATGACCACCTCGACAATGCAACAGTTGAAACATGATGGAGATTATTCAGGTGATTTATTGATTATTTTTTTTCTTTTATATTGAAGATGATTATGAATGTGACTGAATGAATGAATGAATGAATGAATTTGATTTGGTTTGGTTTGGTTTGATTGTTAATAGAAGGGGGATGATATTGACTGTGTGAGTTTTGGAAGGAATTTGGTTTTTTATCATGAGATGTTAGAACTCTTCTAACTCGTAGGATTAGAGTTTATTTTCTATTGGATGGGGTCACCAACCTCATGCTCAACCTTCCTCCTTTATTTGGGCTTTGAATTGACAGTAGTCGAAGAGGGGCTCCAGGTGGAGTTATTGAAATATAATTGAATATCAAAAAATAACCGATACAATCTTGTCAATGTATGTCAAATTGAAAATATTAAGAGTTCTCGTTTACTCGGTAAACGAGAATGAAGACAAGTGATACAGTGACAAGATAGGCTATTCTGATTCGTTTATCACCGACCCTTCTAACTATATCAAGAAGTCTTGATAAAGGCATGGAAAGTGTATTGTACAATCACTCAGAAAATATGAGATGTCTATGGACATAAATTGAGCTTATTTATACAATGATAATAACGTCTTTAGGAGAGCCATAAAAAATAACGTACTAAAATAATACACGAACCAATCAAATATAAGCTGAAGGTCAACTAAGCAACTTATGCATGAAAACACCAACAGTCCAAAATTAGGACCTTTTCCAAATGAGTTCTGTGGATCTAACGTCTCCAACACAAATGCTCACAAATCTTACAAGGATATAAGTTTTCTTATAGACTACATTCAACTGACTAATATGAAAATATATCCCGTCAAATGTTTATTGGGTTGAACTAATTGATAACAGCCGATGTCAGTCAGTCAGTCAGTCAGTTATTCTAAAAGAGTATCTATCGTAATATTCCAAAATGAGTAAAATATTGAGATGGCGAAGAAAATCTGTATAGCTCAAATGGATGATTATAGTGGAGTCCCGTTCTATGAGCTGATTGGTTGAGTTGTGGAGTTTTTACAATTGTTCTTCTGATGAATTAGATTATTGATTAAACTTTTTGAATTTTTTTTATGACTTAAGCCATTTCTTTAAAGTAATTCAATAAATATATAACCGAATGAAATAAACATGAGATTATAGTAGAAACTATAAGATAACTAACTAACTTATGGCGATCATAAGAGATGTGTAAGGCTTCTTTATTTATCTCAGATGAATCATTGCACAATATCCCTAGATTGATCAAAATTAGACATTAACATCATTGATACAGAGGTTAGGCATTTGCACTCAGGGACAACAGTCCTGAGTTCGAATCCCGAACCAAATAAACACGAGATTACAATGGAAATTATAAAGTTTCTAACTTATGACGATCATAAGAGATTTGTAAGGCTACTTTATTTGTCTCAGATCAATCATTGAACTGGGTGAGATCGCACAATATCCCTAGATTGATCAAAATTAGACATTAACATCATTGATACAGAGGTTAGGCATTTGCACTCAGGGACAACAGTCCTGAGTTCGAATCCCGAACCAAATAAACACGAGATTACAGTGGAAATAATGAAATCTCTAACTTATGACGATTATGGAAGATTTGTAAGGCTTCTTTATTTGTCTCAGATGAATCATCTAATCAAAATAAGCATAAACCTTTTGATTTCCGAAGAAAGTTTTCTAAGATGGTGAAGAAAATTTTTTGCTTAGGTGGATGATGATTGTGGTGGTGTTTGATTCTCTGTGAGCTGGATGTTTTGGTTGTGGAGCTTTCATTGTTGTTCCTGTGAAGAAACAACATTATCATTAGTACAAACTTCTGTCCAGCTCAGAGAACCAAACACTACCAACACGAAGAACGTTTTCTTTCACCATGAGTCCTTACAACTATTTCGAATGGTGACTCTTCAACTCTCATGATAGAATTGACATGTTTTAAATGATTATCTCGGTCAGTGTGTTTTTAATAAGGTTTCATTTTATAGGATTTAGTTGCTAACTGCAAGATTGACAGTTATTTATTTTTCATCAAAGGGTTGTACAGATTATTGAGTTTCGTTAAAATCATGAATCGAACAATGTTAGAGACCACTGTTAGAAACCTTGAAGTACTGGATAGCTGTTTCGTCTTAGTATGGAACATTAACATCGTTGAATGTTGTCTGAGACCGTAATTCCGAGGTTCGATTCCTGTGGGCGTGAGTCATCGATGCACACTGTTGATGAGTTCTTCGTCTGTCCGTGTATGTGACTAACACTAAACCTGGAAAAGCTTCAGGTGTAGTTTTTATTATGAACAACGTAATTAACTGACTAATCAAACTACTGAATAAAACCAATCTGTTATCAGATTGATAAAAACGCCTTTTTAAATTGATCTCATTTTTGGGTTACAAATAAACAAATCCATGAAGTCATTGACAAATTGACTGAGTCATGTTAGTAGATGTAGACTACCTGGTTGAGGTCTGCGAGATGAAAGTCACTCATGGTTAGAGACCTTGAACGACATGACTCAAAATCGTTTGTGTTCTCTCAAATCCTAATCTTCTGGATTCGTCAGCACCTCTATTTTTGTCTTTCTTAACTTATCTCACTGAATTATTATACTTCTTGAATAATATCTTCAAACCCTAGTCTTCTTCATTACCATTATTAATACCTCTACTATCTTTATCACTTTGGGATTTGATTTGACATTTGCGTCTATGTGCTAATGTGGTACGTCAACTTGAACTAATGTACGTACAAAGTTCTACATTGTAACTCACTGACTGACTGACTGACTAACTGACAAACAAAATCGTAGAAAAAAAAACTAGGCAACTACTATGCCAATTAGACACCAACTCAATGAATCTAATGTTAGTTTTGATCCCTGATGAATATTCAATGAAGATGAAACATTCGAAGACTGTTTTCTAGTTTTCAAGATTAGCCTTTTTTTATCAATAAAAATTTTTTTTGTACTATAAAAATTACTCTAATAAGTAGCTAATAATATTTGAAGTTTATTCATGTCAAAAGTAAGATGATTAATAATCTTGTTATTTGAAATAATCAGTTTCGATTATTTCAAATGTGTAAAAACACAAATCTCCAAAAACTCTGCCTGAAAATATCGTAACAGTGCTCACTAGTGACTAGTTTCGTGAGGAAATTCTCGGAGTTCTAGTGAGAAGATGTGGTCAATGGAGTTCAACCCTGTCGAATGTAGGCAGTAAATACCAAATACAAAAGGAAGAGGTCGCTCAACATCCCTAGATCAATCAGAGTTAGACATTAACACCGTTGGATGCCGGACCAGTTGTCCGATGGTTAGGCGTTCGTGCACAATACCGAAGGTCCTGGGTTCGAATCCTGCGAGGTGCAGGAGTCGTGGACGCGAACTGCCACTGATGAGTCCCATACAAGGACGAGACGGCCCTCCAGTGCTTCTTCCAGGTTTATAATGGTGGTCTAACAATGATTGATTGATTGATGATTTCAAATGTGTGAAAACACAAATCTCCAAAACTCTAATTGAAAACATGGTTATTATTTATTTTTCAATTAGAGTTATGAATATCATTGAATTTTAGACATTGAAACCATGAATCAATCATGATTAGACAAATCGGACAATGTGATCACTAGTGACTAGCTACATGAGGAAATTCTCGGAGTTCTAGTGAAAAGACGTGACCAGTAGAGTTCAACTCTGTCGGGTGTAGGCAGTAACTAACAAAGAGAAATGGGTGAGGTCGCGCAAAATCCCTAGATTGATCAGAGTTAGACAATAACACCATTGTTCAAGAGATTAGGCGCTTGCACAAAAGACTGAAGGTCCTTGGTTGGAATCCTGTAAGTAATAAGAGTCGTGGATGTGCACTGACATTGATGAGTCTCATATAAGGACGAAACAGCCATTCAGTGCTTCCTCAACGTTTCCAATGTCGATCTAACAATAACTGATTCATGATTTCAATATTGTTTATTTATAAGAGTGCATAACAATTACGCAATAACGAGACCTGACAGAAATTATAAAAACATGCAACTGAATTCTAATTCACTTGTTGAAACTTGAATGTTCTGTGTTCAATCTTTGAAAAATGGTGAAGTAATAAAGAAGTCTTCTTGTTTTTCCTCCATTAAACTAGTTGTTATTCGATAAAATTAAATATGTCAAGCTTATGTCGAATTTTAAAGAACATTTTAGTGACAATAGATCGTAGGTAATTGATATTTCTTTTCAAAATCAATAGAAAAATTTTTAATAAAAGTGAATTTTTCCTTATCAGGTTGTGAAGATTGTTGAGTTGTATTGTAATCATGTATCGATCAATGTTAAACCATTATGAGAAACACACCTGGAAGAAGCAATGGACAGCAATTTCGTTCCACTATGAGACTGATCAGCAGTGCTTATTTGCGATCCCATAAGGAGGAATTAAACACAACACCTTAGATTTTGAATGAAAAAGCTTAAACCACTGAACAAATGAACCGGTATCCAAAAGTGTGAATGTTTGAACTCATTGAAAATCAACAATCTCCAGTCTGAACTTATGTATTCATGTACGAAGTTCTAGGTTATAACTGACTGACTGACTAACTGATCTCCACAACACTTCATTGAGAATTATCATATAATCACCAGTGACTAGAATTGTGAGGATATTCGTCGACTTCTTCGAGTTCTAGTGACAAGCTGTGATCAGTGAAGTTCAACTGTGTTTGGTGTGAATCACTTAACCACCAAAAACAATGAATGAGGTCGCGGTATATCGTAGATCAACTGAAGTTAGAAATTAACACCTTTGTTGCTGGTTTTGTTGTCTATAGGTTAAGCGGTTGCATACGAAACCGATTATCCTGAGTTTGATTCACTCATTCGAGGTCAAGAGTGTGTGCATTGCTGATCAGGAAGAAACAACCATCCTAATACTTGTAGGTTTCTAATGCTCATTTAACACTTATCGATCCATAATTTCAATGAAACAGTGA